TCGTCGACGTACGTCTACGTGGTAGTAGTAGTACACTACGTTCCGTCCGTACGAAGTAGTACGTAGTTACGTAACGAATAGTAGAGTAGTAGAGAACGAACACACACACACACACACACACACACACACACACACACACACACACACACACACACACACACACACACACACACATACACACACCACGCACGTACGCACGCACGCACGCACGTACGCACGCACGCACGCACGCACGCACGCGCGCGCGCGCGCACACACACACACTGACGGGTTGCACTGAATGTAAACAGTAAGTACTATAAGGTATGTGTGAGCCTCAGCCTTATATAAATTCACGTGCAAGAAACGTTGTTAAATATAGTCTAAACTCGGCGACGAACTTAAATCGTCATCGAATGCTAAAATATTTGGTGTTCCTTATTATACGCGATATTTTCCGTACAATGATCGACAACACGGTTGAATATTTACAACAACAACAATAACAACAATAATAATATACTTTAGTTACTTTAAAAGATACGGGACACTTGAAATATGAAGCTCATTCGCATCATAACAGTATACAGTACATCGGCTATATTACGGTATATAATAATACGGCATATATATATATATATATATATATATATATATATATATATATGCATGCATCAGGTCTCACAAACACACCTACGGAATGTTGTATACGGTTACGTGGTGATTAATAGTGAAAACAGTTGTCATTGACGCACACACGTCATCGCACCACGTGACCTTCCTACGATCTTCGTGTAATGGCGGATGCGTCAGCTATCGCGGTGGCTGGGGTCTCGTCTTTCTTTCCCTTAACGTTGGAAGATACTCTTATCTTCTAAGAACTCCTGGCGAGTAGTGTGTCTACCCTCGCTATGCGCGCGCGCCATGCTACGGTGCAATGGCAGGAGATGGCTCTGCCAGCTAGGGTACGTCAACGGTTAATTTTAGGCGTACACTGTGCTACCCTACCGCGGGCCGACTACGCTAGCACGCACGCGTAGATGCGTAGGGTAAATACGACCCCATTGCAATTTCGGAGTACGAAGGAGGATACGCCCAACTTTTAAAACACTACATATAGTAAACGTTGCCCTATCCAACGTGATTTTGTTTAGACTTATAAAGTTCCATGCACGAACACTTGATCCCATAGCGGCGATCAGTCTCCTTCTTCTCCTCTGTTCTCAGCGGGAAACTCTTTTTTCTCGTGCATATTTGCATCGTCGTGTCGGAATGTAGTTCTTGTAACATCATCGGTGACGTCACGTAGCCCGTGGTATCGCAGCGACCTGTAACGTCACATAGCCCGTGGCATTGTCGTGACCTGTGACGTCATCTAGTCCGTGGTTACCAGTGACGTCACGCGTACCGTAGGTTCGTCGTTGTAGCTCTGTGCAGTATGGACTTGTAGTATAGGCACGCGGGGAGGTCGTCAGTAGTTGATCCATCATGATCCGAGTTAGAGTCAGCATCTCACACCATGCAGCGACCACCTGTGTAACACAACCGCGTTGACGACTACGTCACGATGACGTCATTCACATTGTCGACGACAACACGTTATCGTATTTGGTGTCACTGTAGGCGCGGGTGGTGCCAGTACTGTGCTGTGAGATCGGGATGGGCACCCCCTGGTACTTGAACGGGCACGGAAACACCAGGAGATATGAGACCTGAAAGACGAACGACATAAGTATAAGCATGTATGTAAACGATTACAGGTATTAGTATAAGCATGTATGTAAACTATTACAGGTATAAGTATAAGCATGAATGTAAACTATTACAGGTATAAGTATAAGCATGTATGTAAACTATTAAAGGTATAAGTATAATTATGTATGTAAACTATTACAGGTAGAAAGAAAAGTGGGAATCACACCTCGTATACCTGTCGAGCCCGCGCTGTTACTGGAAGGGTGGCTGGCGTGCTGCATGCCGGCCGCTGCCGACTGATACATCATGCTAGCACTGGTGATCGTGGGGTTACAGCTAGCGCGCGTGTAAGCGCCTAGGCTGAGCGGGTCGTAGCCGCGAGGCGCGCCCGGGATCATGCAGGAGTAGGAGCTGGTCTCTCGCTGCTGCAGACACGCCTGCGTCGCCGTCAGCCCGTTGTTCATGGAGGAAAAGGTGGGCACCTGCGGCACGGCACTGCAACGAAGAGAGAAGCCAAGTTAAATGGAGGAAGCAGAGGGAGATACTGTAACGGAGAGAGAAGCTGAGTTAAAGGGAAAGCAAAGAATAATACTGCAACGCCTTCTGCATAACAAATTTCTTTCCTCCCTCTCTCTCTCTCTCTCTCTCTCTCTCTCTCTCTCTCTCTCTCTCTCTCGCTCCCCTGCTTATTTGTCTATCTGTCTGTTTGTCGTTTTATCAATATATCTCGTTCTCTCTATTACTTTCTGCGCGCTACATTCGTTTGTTTATTCTATGTTGTAGCTCACTTGTTTATTGCATATGCATGACTATTTGTTCAAATGTTTATTCATCGATCTAACCGGTTAATACGATAAGGAGAGTTTTCCACGTAAATAATTCCGTAGCAGTGAAGTGTGTAACTAAACGGAAACACACTGTACTCCTCTACAATCCTTTAATGACGTGACAATATGCTCTGTAATTTTCTGTGACTAAATCATAGAATTGTGCGGATATTTATTTGTATCTCTATCGCACGCATATCGACCCGCTCTGACAGAAATTGTAGTCGTGATTTTTAATTATATAATTATGATTCTCACATGTATCATATATTCCGCTGATCGGACGCTGCTCGTTTTTGCTGGCTCATTCTACCGCGAGGTGGCGCCTGTAGATGTTATACATCAGAGCCGTGTGTAGAGATACTCAACTCTATACGATGCACTACTATATTATATAGTGATACTCTATTATCTACGATATACTACTATATCTATAATGATACTCTACTATTTACAATATACTATTATATATACTATCTCGTTATATGGATCTGGTACGCATGTATAGAGGGAAATGAGCGCCACACCGTAATTTCTTGTGATATTATTTAAAATTAAATTATTTAATTTTAACGTGCACTTGGGTTAAAGCGGTCACGCCACAGACACTCACGACAATACACGTATATACAGTAATATACATACATTATATTTTATTATTTAATATGATACAATCAGCTACAATCTACGACTAACTCTACGTCTACAATGTTACAATAATTATCATACTGCTAGCTTTCTTAAAATTAAACGTGCAAGAAATGGACATTTTCACTTCAGAACTTGATGTTCCAATTCATTTCTAGTTTCATCCGTTCACAGAACATGATTCGAGTATATTGATTACCCATCGGTAAATCAGGCAGACGATTCGAGGTTGCATATTTTTCCGGTGACATTTAACTTATTATTAGTATGTTACATTCGAGATTTTGTGCTTCCTATTTCACCAAAAGTATAGATTATGTGGACTGTAGCAAGTCGAAACGGACCGATGGGAGAGCGGGAGAGTGGGAGAGGTTTGGATTCAGGGATTAGTGGGTCAGCGGGAACATGCCTAGCAGTGGTATAGATCACTCGTTCCGTCAGGAAATTGCGTAGTTTACGAAACATGGTGGAGTTACGAAGGAGAAACACACACACACACACACACACACACACACACACACACACACACACACACAAATAGATAGATAGATAGATAGATAGATAGATAGATAGATGCGCGCACGCACGCACGCACGCACGCACGCACGCACGCACGCACGCACGCACACACACACAGAGGCTTCACACATCGAATATACGAGCACACACACACACACACCTACACAACCCGTTTACCAGCCATCACAGCAACAACAACAACACAGGTGTGGCTAGCCGTCTCTCGGAGCTCTCTCGAGCTAACACGTATAATTAAACCTTCACCGCCTCGTCGTGTTTACTAATCCTCTTTGAGAAGGAGGACCAAGTCGCGCCTCTCCCCCGCTCCCGCCGATTGTCGTACACCGCTCCCACCGACAAGGAACTCCTCCTTTTCCTCGCATAGCTCGGTCGGCAAATGACGACCTCGTCGTCGGCTGGCCCCCTCGTCGACGAAAACTTCGTCGACAGCCTACAATTATCTGCTTAGCATTACCCTAGTAACGCGTCGCCGCTGCCGCCGCCGCTGCCGCCGCCGCCGCCGCGCGCATCGCCCCGTTAACGGCGGAGGAGGAGCCGCGGCAGAAGTCTCACAAAATATTTCGCCGCGGTTTAATTCGCCGTGAAAGTGGCCGTAATGTTCGGCTAGCGATGCTGTGCGGGCCAGCGCTGTGTCGCCGCCTGCCTCCGCCGCTAGCATTGTCAGCTATATACCTGTATACTTGACGGAGGTTGGGGGGACGATGCATGGAGGGAAGAGGGGGAGCGGGTTCATTCGGCTGGTGTGGGATGGATGATTATCGGTGTGTGCGCGCCATGCGGTGGTCTATGAGGCGTGGGATGAGATTGTTATCTTTCCAGGATTCATCGCTCTGTGTGTCGGTCTCCCTCTCTTTCTCTCTCTGTTTCTCTCTCTCTCTCTCTCTCTCTCTCTTTCGCTCTCTTTCTTTCTTTCGCTTTCTCACTCTCACTCTCACGCTCACTCTCACACTCTCACTCTCATACTCTCTCGCTCGCCTCGCGCTCTTTTCTCTTCCTCTCTCCCTCCTCTCTCCCTCTCTCCCTCTTTCCCTCTCTCCCTCTCTCTCTCTCGCTCTCACTCTCACTCTCACTCTCACTCTCACTCTCACTCTCACTCTCACTCTCACTCTCACTCTCACTCTCACCTCTCACTCTCACTCTCACCTCACTCTCACTCTCACTCTCACTCTCACTCTCACTCTCACTCTCACTCTCACTCTCACTCTCACACTCTCGCGCTCGCTCTCTCCTCCGTCTCTCTCTCTCTCTCTCTCTCTTCTCTCTCTCTCTCTCTCTCTTCTCACTCACTCTCACACTCTCGCCGCTTGCTCTCTCTCCTCCGTCCCTCTCTCTCTCTCTCTCTCTCTCTCTCACACACACACTCTCACTCTCACTCTCACACTCTCTCGCTCGCTCTCTCTCCCCCCTATCTCTCTCTCTCTCTCTCTCTCTCTCGCTCCCCTGCTTATTTGTCTATCTGTCTGTTTGTCGTTTTATCAATATATCTCGTTCTCTCTTATTACTTTCTGCGCGCTACATTCGTTTGTTATTCTATGTTGTAGCTCACTTGTTTATTGCATATGCATGACTATTTGTTCAAATGTTTATTCATCGACTAACCGGTTAATACGATAAGGAGAGTTTTCCACGTAAATAATTCCGTAGCAGTGAAGTGTGTAACTAAACGGAAACACACGTAGTACTCCTCTACAATCCTTAATGACGTGACAATATGCCTCTTGTAATTTTCTGTGACTAAATCATAGAATTGTGCGGATATTTATTTGTATCTCTATCGCCATGCATATCGACCCGCTCTGGCAGAAATTGTAGTCGTGATTTTTAATTATATAATTATGATTCTCACATTGTATCATATATTTCGCTGATCGGACGCCTGCCTCGTTTTTGCTGGCTCATTCTACGCGAGGTGGCGCCTGTAGATGTTATACATCAGAGCCGTGTGTAGAGATACTCAACTCTATACGATGCACTACTATATTATATATGGATACTC